GATCTCTTTAACAGAATGAAACATTTATTGTTCGCATTATAATGGGGGAAAAAATGAACCATGAGTGGAAAATTCATTCAATATCAGAGCTTCGACGCATCGCCAGGACTCCAAAAGTGGTGGAACTAAAACGTAAATGCCAGGTGTAGCTCATTTTTGTGACAAATTTGGCTGGTAATTAAACGCAAAGGGAAAGAGATTTGAATTAAAGTATGCTAAGTTGAAGGTGATATATGTAGTATATCTGGAATATGCTGATATCAAAAAAGTCATGCAAGCGTTCAATCGTTATGACCATTTTTAAAAGTGACAGTTATTCCGAATCACCATGTAGTTGCGGCTAGGGGACATGCTAGACATACCTCTCACGCTAAAGGTGACTAGTTTAAATCTCATACCCAGACAAGTCATAAACAGGGCTGCATCCACTCATTTCGCTAGAAAACATGTTTTTCGGAAGTATAAAATCATTAGATGTTATAATTATATGTTGTACTGGTGTACTGAGTTCAATCAGTTTTATGAAATCATGGGTAATAAGCTAAAACGCAAATGGGACTGACTTACGATGAGCGGCTGTGTTGTCAACGATCGTCTTGAAAAACTCGGAGCTCAAGGTTTCAAGGTGATTGGTTTTAATTACAATTGGTCCTAAGCTATACACTTTAATGATGTAAGTAGGAGGATCCCAACATAAATTCCACTAATACAACTGTTGTTTCTTTCACTCGAAAGAAAATATATATTCCAATCTAACGGTTGAATCATTCTCAAATATAATTATCAATGCAAGCAAAATATCTATAAATTGAAGAGTGCTCTTTGGGTATGCAGTAGAACATTTGCTAGAACTTATTATGAGACTAAATCTAAAAAAAATATTCACTGGTTTCAAGGTGATTGGTTTTAATTACAATTGGTCCTAAGCTATACACTTTAATGATGTAAGTAGGAGGATCCCAACATAAATTCCACTAATACAACTGTTGTTTCTTTCACTCGAAAGAAAATATATATTCCAATCTAACGGTTGAATCATTCTCAAATATAATTATCAATGCAAGCAAAATATCTATAAATTGAAGAGTGCTCTTTGGGTATGCAGTAGAACATTTGCTAGAACTTATTATGAGACTAAATCTAAAAAAAATATTCACTGGATATATTTGGCGATTATGAGACCCATGATCTAAATCTTTAGATACATCAGCTCAACAAAAAACTCACAAAGCTACAGCGACAAGCTATCCCGCCCAAGTAACAATTTTGGATGTATGAAAATCTTGTCGGTCTTGACTAAGACTTGTTGAACGCTTTAAATCCACGATAAAAGATTAGTGTCGTGTGAAACTTTAGTTCCAAAGCTAAAACACAAAGCCTTTAAGAAAGTATGGATATTTACACCATTTGATGATGATGGTCCCACCTCTTACCCCTACAAAGGTTTGAGCTGGACGATTTATCTTTAAGATAATTAATTTAAAAACAAAAGAAGCACTCCAAGCAAATCCCTTCTCCCATTCCATTTTTGCCTTCATCCGTATGACGAAGTAAATTCAATGACGTTCCTATGTATTTGTACGAAATTGAAGCCCGTGCGCCGAATTATGCATCAAGAAGCAGTGTTGAATTTTTAACAAAATATTAACAAATTGTGGCTCATTATCAAATCTAACGGTACATATAGAAAAATAGATAAATATAGAAGTCATTCCATATTGTTAAAAAAAAATTCATTCGAAAAAGAGAGATAAAGTGCGGGTTGTACATAGTAGGTCAATTATTAGATCTAAACCCTATTTGGAATAAAATAAAGAATGCTCAAGCGTTCGTCCAGAATCTATTAGATTTTTTACAAATGGATCTTAAATAGCCAAGATAACTGACCTTGGGGTTGATTTGTCAGTACCAATAGATTTTTTTTTCAAAGGTCAGGCAGCACTTAAAGCAAAAGCATTAAATACATGCATACGTGTGAGTCTCAGTGAAAGCTGGCTAATAGAAATACTGGGTTCTTAGGCACTGTGGAATTAAAGGCAATGAATAGATCGACAAGGATCAGCAATTAATTTTGCCAGTCCAGAATCATTTCGCGGGATTTTGTTTTGTTTTCCTCTGTTCGGGACCTAACACTACTGCGACCAGTAAATTGATCTATTGTAGTATATCCCGTGTCCTTAGTTTAGTGCATGTCGTATTACTCCATCACTGTTAAGAAATGATGAAGTATTCGAATTTTTTACAGTTGCCTCTCTTGCATTTATCGCAAGGATCCGACTCTAATTGAAAGGTCCCGCGTGTTGAAACACCCTCCAAAGGCGCGCCCCTTTGTCAGTCAAAATTGGATTCCTTAGCAACAAAATTAAGGAATGACACCGATAATGACCATGCATCAGAACCCTAGTCGGTGGTAGATCTTACATCCCGTAACGTACCACGAAAAGGTGATCTACCCACGTTACGGGGCATGTTTGAAGTTACTCAGAAGCGTCTCGTAACTGAAAGTTCTACCTGTTCTACAAGTTCCATTCGCGAAAGTGAAAACGCTGTGGCTGTTTGCTGAAGATGATGTTTTCTTATCTTTCACAAACGGTACAAAAATGTACATACATAATATTAGATAACATTGATTACCTTTTCCAAGAACAGGTTGGACATGCGGACGCCTCTGAAATAAAATTTACGATAAGATTCAGCTGCCCACATGGCTCGCTGAAACCATCAATGGTAGAAATTGCGAATTTTGTGAAATCGCTGGTTCGCGGATCCCACTCAGATGATCGCTACATAGCGAGATTACCATCTTCTTATTCTTATTCGCATTTCAAGCTTATTGCTTAGTGCATATTAGCTTATTGCGTATACACTTACACAGTTATTAATTGAGAGCTTTCGATGCCAATACCAATGCATGAATTTGTATATTGTGTGGCAAGCACAATGTCCAGGCAAGTCGAGAAAATTTTCAACCCGAAAATATTCTCTCGACCGGACCGGGAATCAAACCCGCCACCGGCTATAGGCCCCACAGATAATCAACTCGCTGCATTTCCTCCTTAATAAAGATATAAAAAAAAACAAAGCCGAGTCTTGTCACTATCAACAAGGCATAAAAAGTAACAAGGACTAAGATGTGTTCCTTCGATTACTGAAAAATCCTGTTCCCCTAGTTTGAAGTAGTCAGGACTAAGTCGATGGTAGATCTTACATCCCGTAACGTACCACGAAAAGGTGATCTACCCACGTTACGGGGCTTGCGGGATTCAAAATTCAGCTATCAAAATGTAATTTAAGAGATGGGAAATTAAAGAGTCCTCTCCTTATGTCGACAATGCAAACACTGCATTCCATCTAGTGTGAAAACACATACAAACTACTTAGCAGGCCTGGGACATTTTTCCAGCAAATACCATTTGGTGCACCTAAAATGGTGTAAAATTATATCTGTCACTTCTGTAAATTAGAACGCAAGACCAAGGAACACCTGCTCTATGAATGTAGTGCACTATTTCAATGCAAACTGAGATCTATTGGCAGGACATACAGCCATCCTACATCCTGGTTTGTAAATCCATGGAATCCAGGATAAACTTCAATTCCAAACTGGGGCGAACAAGTCAACGGCCATCCCTGATATCATTAGTGGCGAGGTTGTCTAAAAGTAAACGGAATTCATCACGAACATTCAACTACTAGAGCTACTAATTCAATTCCTACAAACAAATCTGGACGCTGCTCAACTGAAATTGCTCTTCAAGACATAGAAAAAGCATTCGACAGTGTATATATTGTAAAACATTTTCACTTCGGATGGATTATAATATTTTCAAAAATTTGAAAGGGATAATAATATTTTCATAGTTTGCGTATAAAGCTAGATGGGAATCAAAACATTAAATTAAAAATTATTGTCATTATTTCGACATTTTCAACAATCCTAAAAAATTGACATGCCATGTCGCTTCACTATAGCTTTTTTATAAGAGTTACTTTCAGCCAATGGCTGGTTCGTCAGTTAAATGCAAGAGTTAATGGTTTAACATTACCATTAAAAGTGCAAAAAAAATGATTTTAACAAACACTTTTCTTCGTGATGTTTATGTGTTTGCATAAAAAAAATATCAATTTTAAAATCAGAACACTAATGAACGGAGCTTCCAAATAAAAATGAAAATTAGATAAATTTATCAAACTCAGTGGAATGATAGAGAAATTATAACATTTTTTACTGCATAAAATTATTTTTCACCATTCAAAAAAAATTAAAATATCTTGTCATGCTATCAATTATTTTCCGAATATAATCTAGACATGAAGTCAAGACATAAAACTATCCATTTCTTCATGAAAAGAAAATGTTGCTATACAATTGAAACGTTGGTGAATCTAGTAGACCCATTTTAGTGAAATATGATTTTATGTTTATTAATATGTGTTCTAGTCAGTGTTGGAAAAGTTCGCGATATTTCACGAAGCTCACCAAGAGAAAAGTTCGCGAGTCATAGTGAGTTTTCGAGAACTTTTCCATCACTGGTTCTGGTCAGCCATGGTATTTTCTTTGAGGAAACATATAAGCATCACGAATAAAACCAGCTATTACATAATCATAATTTTTAAATTTAACTAGATACAGCAAACACTGAGCTATATTTTCAGCTCCATAAACCACAGACAGTCCCTGATCTTAAAACATTTTTTGATTACAATTTGCTATGCTTTGAAAAAAAATTTCAATTCTCAAATAAACATACTATAAAAGAATGATCATGACAGACGCTTCTATATAAATGTCAAAAGTCATGTGTCAAATAAAAACTCATCTTAGGCATGAATTGAAATCATCACAGTGAATGTAGGCGATGTGTTGTCAAAACTGGGCAGGCACTGCACTGTTTGTACAACACTGATATTTCCTATCACACCACTTGACAATGCATGCAGAACATCTGAAGCGTTTACCTTATCCAAGAAATACAATATAAAAACTAATTTCCACTCACCATCTAACGATAAATTAAACTGAGAATTTTCATAGTTTATTACACGTCCAATTAGTCTTCTTCATGCACACATTCACTACAGCATCCGCTATGTAGCATCAATCCACCTGTAAATTCACTGTTCAAAGGTGATAGCCGCTCGTCGAAGATAATTTCCAAAACAATTATTGATTTTCTTTTCAATTCTTCACGTTGATCTTTCTCGGGAAAATACCACACTCACATTTCAAGGAATACTCTAATCATCAATCGAAAATTTCCTCTTCACTCATTAAACATCACCCACTGCACTTGTTACCATCTCTTCTCGAAATTAATGTTGTCTGCTTGCAATTTTCTTGTATCTCTTACGATCACTGAAATCTTTTCCACCACTTGCATCAAGTTCTGTTTTCTTAACCAATCTCGGAGTTCTTCTTCCATACAACAATGCTGCAATTGCACTCTAACGATCGCAAAAAAGTTTCTTCAAATTGCCAAAAAAAAAAGTGCACCGGAAACCGATCAACGATTCCCAAGTCTCAGGCGGACCACCAACGAAACGTCGAAGAACGACGAGCACCACGCGACTGTACCGGATCGCAGTCAAGAGACCACTGATGGAGAGTCCGAGATGATGGTAACGTTATCGAAAGGCCGCAGCGCCAGTGCAGACAGACCATCGGCGGTGGAAGTAATAATGCATCATCGCGCGAAGACGACAACGGCGGCTGCGACGGCTATAACGGCCACAAGCAACAACGGCGGGCGGCTTAACGATTTCAAGGTAAAAGGTAAACCTCGGCCGCGAGCACACTACGAGAGAATTACCTACCCCACCGCCGCACAAACAAGAAAAACTTGAATGCGAACCAAAGTAGCGAAGAATGAATGGGTAAAAAATACAGATAATAACGCGATACACACGGTATAAGGGGAGAAGAAATGTGAAAAGCTAATAAGCAAATAACGATACAACAGTGGATCAAAGAGAAATAAAAGAGAAACTAACAAAAAAGAGCAACATAGAGAGAATCCGCATCTTTCCCTGCTCGCGTGAGCTGAATGTAGCCGGTTCGTCACTTTTTCTCCAACTCTCCCGCATGGACCTTTTCTCTCGGATGTTGAACGCACCTCGCCGTCGTCGTCGTCGTCTTCATCGTCCGGGAAGCACCACTTTTATCACCCTATCTATCTTGCGCCTATGCGTTAGAAGAAAAGCTTTCTCTCTTTCTTTTGCAATTCTCGGCTCGATTGATAATGAGAAGGAAAATTTCTCCCAGTTTCCCGTTTCCTACATCTTCGTTCGTTGAGGCTGCGGCTGCTCTTCAAGCTCGAGAGACTAGACTGCAAATGCTACTGTGTTTCTGCTGGGATGGTGTCTATTGAGTGAATATGTACGTAGGTATATTCGAAACGGTATCTAATTGATTTGAATCTTGATCTCGATGCCGTGAGGAGCCATCGCGTGTATGTTTGTATATGTGCTCCAATGCAACGAATGCATTTTATGCGGTAATTTCAACGTGCGGTCAGAATGGGAACCTGCGAATCGATTCATGCATTACACGATAGGGCATATTTTTCATTGAAGTGATTTCCGATTAGCTGTAATTTTTCGAATCATTTACGTTATTCCATGCATTGCGCAAAGTATGGGAAAACCATTTTATGCGAGTGGCAATAAACTCGAGTTCTCCAATGTAATTCATTTTCTCAACATTTGTCCCATTTATAGGATCAAAGCAAATTATACTGGAATTCCCAAGTAGCATCGCTCTATGCTATGGAGCTGTTCATTAACTACGTAGACCGTTTTTGAGAGGTTTCAAACCCCATATCTCCCCGCGTAGACAATAGTCCATATTTTTTATTATTTGTATGAACCGTAGACGCCACCCTCCAATAAACTGTCTACGTAGTTTATGATAATAGGGACTATGTTGAGAAAATATTTCTACAACCAAAACCAGCCATATAATGGTAGTATAAACTGTTATAGAACATGTGTGTTCCTTGGGTAATTTAATCCTTTGAAAACAAGTCTTATGGATAGATTGGGTGGGACCGCTCTTAGCTCGACAAAGGCATAGCTTTAAAGCAAAACTATGCTGGAAGTGACTGGGTTCGATGCCCGATTCGGTATATGAATTCTTCGGGTTGAAAAATTTCACCGCATATGATTGTACTTGCCACACAATTGTTCTAATGCTTACTGGTACAGACTTAGAAAGCTCTCAATTAACAACTGTGTAAGTGCATCTAGAACAATAAGTTGAGTGTCGGCGTAAAGTCCCATTAGGGAAATAATAAAGCCAAATAAGAAAAAGAAGACGGATAGATTGAGTTCAAGCAAAAAATTGCCTAAAATTAAAAGTGTAGCAATGACAAGAATTAAAGTAACATAAAACTACATTCGAAACAATTAGCTAGATTAATTTCTAAAAGCATACCGGTTTTTACACATCATCTCAAATAGCTTCGTTTTCTGGGCACAACGATATTTTTATCGATCCCATAGACAATCGTCTCGTTTTTTAATTTGTAACGCTAAATCTATTAGCTGACTGCTCGCTCCCATGCAAAGTCCCACCGAGAGACGCAAAAATATTGATTTTTGCTAATGTAACCGCACTTATTTAAAATAATTTCAGTGCACTAAAATTGAAGAAATTTTGGATTTCAGTTCCATTTTTAATGCAGATTACGAATATTTATTTACCTCAATACCCTTAAGGGAAAGATTACCGCACCGAAAATAAAAAAATATTTTCGGCACGTTTTTATTTTTCTAAAAACATTGGAAAAAATTAAAAAAAAATCCAAGAAAATAAGTTTCTTCCTTAGATTCTTGAGAAAATTTACATTTAAATATAGTTTTTCTATCTCATCATGAAAAAATATTGGACTCTCAGCAAAACCAAAAAGTTGATGTTTTGTGGTTTTTGAGTCCAACTTTGTGCCATGATAAATACAAAAAATATTTTTGCACATGAATTTTCTTTAAAAAACAAGAAAAATGTGATTTTTTTATATTTTTGATATTTTTTCCCAATAATTTTAGAAAAATCGATACTCATTTTTTTTTCGGAGCTTTCCCTTAAACACTCTAACTATCTTAACCATCACTGTTCAAATTATGGTTTAGATTTTCAAAAAAAATGATAAAATGTTTTGATAGAACTTCAAAAAAAAAATAAAATTTAAAAGAAAATTATTTCGTTCCAGATTAATTTACACAGCAAAAAATAAATTTTAATATTACATCCAAGAAGATGCATTTCAACCATGTCGAAAATCTCATGTAATTTTTATGGCCACAAAAATAAACAAATGCAGTAAAAGCAGCGTAATGTCAGTTCATGCACTGTATTAATGATAAATTTGTCCTTTTTGGCAAGTAATATTACACCATATTTCAGACACGATTGAAGTGCATCCACTTTGATGTGATATCAAAATTAATTTTTTGCCATTTATAGTTGAATCAACGTTTTGAATTTAATCGTACGAATTATTTCAAGATTATCGACCACTGTTATCAATTCACGATCAGAAACTAGAAGGCGACATTTTCCCTCATTTCAGCCCAAAATATCTAGTTTGAAGTTGGTTTCGACGGGATTAACTTTAAACAGTAAAACATATTTGGTGATATCGCATCGAAAACGATGTACTTCACTTATGTCCAGAAAGTCACGAGTAACGGGTAACGTAATCATTTTTTAGCAGCGGGTAACGTAATTATTTTCTACTAGATGTACTAATGCAGTGGGTAACGTAAGCATGTTTCAAAAATCTTGATTTATTACATGAGCTACACGCTAACTTTAAAGTACCCATTAATGAATAAATTTTTACCCATTTTAGAGAAAAGTGGCTCAACTCATGAAATTAGTATAACCGACTTTACTATGAGTATAACCGACGAATACTTCAGAAATTGGGTCTTTTTTTATTCTTGATGAATTTTTTGTTCATGAGTAAAACGTACTCATTTTATTGAAAATTTTGCGTGAGGTGCATCCTGCCATCAAATATAAAACCAAGTAGAACCTTATGGAAAAAATAAATCAATACGAATAATTAAAACGATTAATACTGTTTATTGGGTTTCGAATCAGGTGATCAAATTCTGCTTTAACCACTGCCGACATCTCAAAACCGGGCATCATCTTCAGTATCAACCGACTTGTTACAATATTCAATATTAATATATATAATATATAATATTATTATATAAGGAAAAGAAGTTATCTGGTTAATAATAGTGTTGACCTATCGAGTCACAGTGGTCCTTCCGTATGGGTCTTCCGGTTTACTGTTCGGATGCCGAACATCGAATGAGGATCCGGAACCATTCGCTTGTTAATTTCAGTTTCGTCTTCGTAGATCTGCGCTATCCTGAAATGGGACAGATTTTTTGGAATATCTTAATTTGCTTGATTATTCCCCAAACAAATTTCTACCTGATACGCGAGATGTTGTCAATATTATAATTAAAATCTTAATGAATATTTTTAACACATTTTTGAGGCTAGACTATATTTTCACAAATGAATAAAAAGTACCCGCTTTTCTTTTTTTTTTACAAATATCCATTTTTTGACAACTTAGAATTAATTCAAAAAATGAGTACAAAAAATTCATTGAATGGGTACTTTTGCGTTAACGTGTAGGGAAGTCTGTTTCCACAACTGACAAACTCAGTCCTAAATCTAAAGTGACACGTTTGTATCCGAGTCGCTTTTTACGTGGATTTTGAAATTTACGCGTTTTTTTTTCGCGGATGTGCATCCACTTCGAAGTAAGTGTAAAATTTATTTTTTGCTGTGCAATTGGAGGCAAGCAGTGCATTAGCATTTGTTGATGATGTATAGTACAACTTTAAAGGCCCAAACACAATGTGGGTGTAAGTGGAACGGAAACGGACAGTTAACTCAAATGACATCAGCATGTTTAATTGAAGTCGATTTGCTTCAAGCTGTTTTTATATCAGACGAGATTTATGTTTGCATTATTAACGTGTTTTTTAGTTCATCATGACAATCCGACAAAAAGAAACTTGTACTCAAGTCGGGCTAATACTCTGCTGACACGCGCGAGCATATTCACACAGATATTTTCCAATCTCGATCGGGCTTCTAAGAGATATCTTTAAATACCTTGTTTATAAAAACGGCGGAAAAACACATTAGCGATATTCACGTAGCGCATCTTAAGTGTGTAAACCCTCCTTAATGCGTAAACTTCATTACATTTCAATGGGGCCTGGTATTTTTACGATAGTGTAAATGTTTACGTAGCGCTTTGTAACTACGCCTAATGTTTCATGTAATCTTATGTAATGTAAAAATGCTGAAGATACGTGAGACAACATGAATTTTTACACTTAAAAAAATACAATGAAATTTGTTAGAATCTCTATTGGTTAGAATTTAGGTGATTTTTGGAATTAACGTGGATTTCGGAATTTACGCGGTTTTTTACACGGTTTTTTTACGTGGCGCGTATCCCCAGCATACCAAGGACGTTATTAGCCTGTAATATTCACCCGTATTCTCGTTCTCGTCCTTTGTTTTGTATGGAAAATAGAGTTCGAACGAAAACATGCCCAACAAACAATTTTAGCTGCAGATTAGCTTATACTGCCAAAATATGCCTTATGCAGCTAATTTTTGCCTGTATAAGCTGAGTTGCAGCTAAAATTGTTAGCTGGGTGGCCACAACATTGCAATAAACTATTTTCACGTGGAATATACCAGACGATCCGGTGTTACAAATAATAATCGAT